AGGCTGGTCTCAAACTCACAGATATCTCCCTGCCTCTGCCTCCCGAGTGATGGGATTAAAGGCATGCGCCACCACTACCTGGCTTTAAAACATTTTGATACCTAAAGAAAATAGTCCTGAGCTTGGGGGTGTAACACAGTGATTGGACACTTGAATAGCATTTATGAGGCCCTGCATTCATACCCAGGGCAAAAGCAAAACTATGCCAGGCTGGTTCTTACTGAGTCTGGAATCCTAGCGCCTGGAGACTGAGGCAGAAGAGTCTTGATTTTGAGGTCAGCCTGGCCTATATAACAAGAGTTTGTCTCAAAAATTTTTTTAAAACTTCCTTCTGCATCAAATATGTAAAGATGTTTTCCCCCATTGGAAACTGGAGAGGTAGCTCAGAGATTAAGAGCACTTTCTGGTCTTGCAGAGGACCTGAATTTGGTTCCTAGCATCCAAATGGTGACTTACAACCATGTGTAACTCCAGTTCCAGGTGATCCAATGTCCTCTTCTGACTTCCATTGGCACCAGACACTTACATGATAGCCATGTGTACATGTAGGCAGAACCCCCTACACATAAAATAAATATTTGTTTTAAAAAAAGATTTTTCCCTTAACAAGACAATAAAATAACTATATGCCATCTATATTATATTAGGGTTTTTTGGTGATCTGTGAATGATTTCAAATATGGAGCAGGATAGGTGGAAGGGTATATGCATATACCTGAATTTTGTACAACCTGGGCCGGGGCAGGCATGGACTGGCATCCTCAGAGGGGTCCTCAGTCCAGTCTCCATGGAGACAGCAATACAGCTGTCTACATCTCCTGTGTGGATGCTGCTCCATACTGACAGCTGTTCATCTCTATAACAGAAAATGCCCTGATCACTCAGTCCAGGCTCATGCTGTTGGAATCCTTACTGATATTCTTTAACCTCTCAGCTGTGCTGTCCTATCTGAAGTTCTTCAACTCCCAAAAACACAGGTACGGGAAGTGAGACAAGCCTCTGCTTAGGAAAGGGGTTCCAGGTGTCTCTCCCTCTGCTTCTTAGGCATGAGCAAGTAGGTAAAAATTCCTCTAGCTGGCAGCAGTCCCTCTACCTCAGTCTTCAGAGTGCTGAGGTTACAGGGGTGTACCTGCACCCAGCTCTGATGTGACTTCTGGTGTCACCCTGTTATCTTGCAGAGTTGCTTGCAGAATGCCTTTTGGTTACCAAGTACTTTGGGTTGGCCCTTAAGCCCATGATTTAATAATTTCATCTTTTTTAACTTTAACCCACAGTAAAATTTTTCTTGATTAAAAGGAAAAATTCTTCTGAACCCCAAACTGGGAGGTGGAGTTCTTTTTATTGTGGCTGGTGGTCAGGGCTGGTTAACCTCTGGACTTCTAGGAAAAGCACACACTATCCCTGAGCTGTAGGATGCGTCTTGTGAATGCTTCCTTGTCCTGTTTTTATCCCAGCCCTTTCTCACCGAACTGGTGGCTGTGGCTAATGCTGACCGGGGTCTCTTGTTCCTGCGCCATTGGGTGAGTTAGAGCCCCTGACTTGGACAGTATTCTTGTCTGTGGGGCAGTCTGTCTTATAGCCTTATTTCATTTGTCTTTTTTAGTATCAAATACATGGGAATTTTTACCTACTTGCTAGTGCTCAGCATTGCAGCTGTCCATGCCTGGAACCTGATCGGAGATCAGACCTTGTCACATGTAGGTGGTCATATCAGTGCCACGTGAGTCTGCTGTGTGTGGGGTTGGGTGTAAAGCTGTCGTAGGGAGTGGTTGGCTCAAAGAAGTGGATTCTGGAGGCTTCAGGAGCAGGTGAGAGTGGGGCAGCTTACCTGCAAGCCTCCACCAGTGTCTGCATGGGAGGTGGGGCTTCTCAGTAACTTTTCCTAAGCCTGCATGCAGTGTCTGAAAATGGCCTTGCTGCTCCTCAGATAGGAGATCTTTCCTCTCATCCCCTGGCAGATGCGCGTGTTTGGTCACTTGATCGCCAGAGCAGTGGCCCTACTGATCATCCCGGTTTTCCTGTACTTACTATTCTTCTATATCCACCTAATGCTGCTCTATCGCTCTGGGCCCCATGACCAAATCATGTCCAGCGCTTTCCAAGCCAGCTTGGAGGTAAGAAGCATAATGTCAGGTCACTTCAGAGCAAAGATAGGCATAGGCTCAGAGTTTCTATCTAAGCGCTGTCA